TGTATTCTGCCTCTGGTGATTCTAAGAAATTTTCTTCCTCTGGAAAATTTCTAGATTCTTTAGGGAGCTTGCTGAAGCCATCATGGTCTACATCTTTATGTGATTTGATATTGAGTGGTGTCTCCAAGCCATCAATAAGTTATTATGTTTATTTACTTTATGCTTAGTGTGTCCTAGCTTCTCGTTTTGCTTTGTTCTGATATGCCCAAATAGGCTGCTCGTGTGAGCTAGCCCAATCACCCGTGCCTCTGAAGCTCCAATGTCCTGCCACCAGGTGGCCAGAGCTGCCACTAAGTATGTGAGCCCAGGAGTCTGCCCACTCCTCCTGTATGGATTCAGCTCAGGTGTCCAGGTAGTCAGCCACCAAGTATGTGGTGCAGGCTCTTACCCACAGTTCTAGACAGGCGTGGGTGATTGGTGTAGGCACAGGCTTCCAGCTGCAGCAGGAGGACATAGGCTGAGCAAGACAGGGGGCCAACGGCCACCCTCAGGTGTCCAGGAGGAACGCATGTCCCTGTTCCCTACAGCACGTAGATGGGTGGGTTTTGCAGCTAGACTATGAGCACCCAGTGCTGTTGGTTATAAGGACTGGGGGGCACCGCCTATTCTTGGGCCCCTTTCGAAGGTGGCTAGGTGGAATGGGTGGAGCCACCAGTCTTCAGGCCCCTGATGTGGATAGGTGAAGACCCTACTTAATGGGCAGATCAGTGGCAAGTGTCATGAACTTGCCACTTCACAACTTTAACAAGTTAAAGTTAGACTTCAAGTATATATCCTGTTGTCCTGTGGTAATGAGGGCCTAAGCTCTTGAAATGGGCCCACACAAGTCTCTGTAGGGAGAAAGGCACTTGAAGTCCGTGGACCCCTTATGCCTGTGCCTAGGCAAAGGAGCTGTGCCTATCCTGAGTTCTGGCTTCTTTTCCCTGTTTGTTAATTTGTTCCCTGTCCAAGGCTGGGGGAACGGCTCAGGGTGTGTGACATGTCCTACTTCCAGCCCAGGGGTCTCGGCAGTTGCTGAAGCCATCCCAGACCCAGTGCAGAGCAGGGAGCAGTGAGGTAAATGGGAGAGAGGTTTTGCCCAAAGGGGGATGTTTTTGATTCGCACGGTAGGCCAGACGCAAGTAGTTATCTTTCGCCAGTTGAGGGCTGCTTCTCACTGGTTCTGGATGTCCGAGTAGACTCTCTGCGGCTGGGCCTCTCTTGATGTGGAAAACGCCTCCAGAGCACTGCTGCTTGCCTCACCGTGCCCCAAGAGCTGATCCGACCTGAAGGCCTGTGGCTCCTGCTGGTTCAGGTCTGACAACTCCTCACTGCTTCTGAATAGTTTCTCTCTCCCCCTGCCACTTAGTCCAACTCCTCAACTTTGCCTTTGATATTCAGGGCTCCTAGATTGTCATAGATAATTGACTCACTTGTTTTTTCGTGTCTTTATTTTAAGACAGACCACCAGAAGTGTCTGACTACTCCGCCATCTTGGCCCCACCTCTGAGTTGGATAATTCTTTGTTGTTGGGGGCTGTCCTGAGCATTGTTGGATGTTTAGCAGCATCCAGACATTGCCAAATGTTCCTTGTGGGAAAAATTGCCTGCTTGAGAACCACTGCTCTAGACCATGCATGACCATGTCTGCCTGTTCACTATTTAGTTCCAACACCTAGTGTTGCTCCTGCCACCTGTTACGTACTCACTGTTCAGTGAATAAACCTGCTGCTGTCCAGTCAATTCCGACTCATAATAACCCTATAGGTCAGAGTTGAACTGCCCCATAGTGTTTCCAAGGCTGCAATCTTTACGGAAGCAGACTGCCACGTCTTTCTCCTACAGTGTGGTTGGTGGATTCAAACAACCGACTTTTAGGTTAGCAGCTGAGTGCTTAACCACTGCACCACCAGGGCTCCTTGCTCAGTGAATAGTGGTAAATAAATGGTTAAATCTTCATTCAATCCCTCATATGACCTCAGAGCTGGTTTTTACGACTTGTAGAAAATAACCTTGTGGAAAACCATGGCTTGGGAGCACTTCTAAAAGACATATTGCTGAGACTCTGGGGGGCTGAAAGAATTAAATTGCTGAAAGAGAAAATTAAGTCATGCTCTCCAAAATAGGCATGCAGCAAAGGCTGAGGATTTGTTCTGTTTGCTAAATAGAAAAGGAATAAAAAACAAAGAAGGGAATTACACAAGTTCAAAAAAACTAGAATAAAAATATTGCCCTTGCTGTGTAGCCTTAGACAGCCTGCTAACTGTGTACAGAATATGTAACAGCATATAAATATCTGTCATTATAAAGGCAATGTATAGCTAAATTTCCCTTTATACTACTTCTGGATGAAATAATTGCTCTTGTGATAAAAATGCTTGTCTCGGGGTTTTAGAGACCCAATATTTTTGTAAAAGCTACAGATTGTAAAGAACTCTCAACTGCTCCTAACTTTGAGGCTCGTCTGTGCTTAAGGGTTGGAGATTCATCTGGTTTATTCATCTGTTTATTTATCCATCCCATTATTCAATGGTTCCTTTCTTGAGTGCCTGCTACGTTCCACGTATATGCATAAAACTAAAAACAAAACCTGTTGGCATGGAGTCAATTCCAACTCATAACAACCCTATAGGACAGAGTAGAACTGCCTCATAGGGTTTCCAAGGAGCGGCTGGTGGATTTGAACTGCCAACCATTTGGTTAGCAGTCAAGTTCTTAACCACTGTGCCGCCAGGGCTCCATGTATAAGCATAATCTTATTCTAATTCTAAAGGATTTTGCAATCTAGATAAAAATAAGTAAACTGTGGTGTGGTGTAATAAGTGCACTGATGATGTAAGTAGCACAGAGGCAGCACTTGGGAGGGACAGTGAATTCTGCTTGGTTGAGTCAGTGAAGCTTTACAAAGGAGACAGAAAACCTGGGTCTCAGAGGATGAGCTGGTGTTCACCGACACACATAGAAGATGGGGAGAGCACTGCGGGTCAAGAGGCTAAAACCCGAAACCAAACCCGTTGTTGCAGGACAGAGTAAACTGCCCTGTAGGGTTTTCAAGGGTGCCACATCTTTCTCCCATGAAGTGTCTAGTAGGTTTGAACCACCAACCTTCTGGTTAGCAGCTGAGTGCTTAACCACTGCGCCACCAGGGCTCTGGTCAGGAGGATAGCATGTGCAAACTCCTGGAAGTACGGAATGGCTGGCACATTCCAGAGGTCGTGGGTGTTCAGTGTGGCTGGAATGTTGCTGCCGGTGGCAGATGGATAGGAGCTGATCCTGCAGAGGGGCAGGGGCAGGTCCCAGAGGGGTTACATACATGTACACCCGTGGCTTTTTCTGTAGGCCAGGTGTTCTCAAACTGTAGTGTCACAATACATGGACATGTTGTAATTACTTCTGAGGTGAAATGTTGCAAGTCATTTAGAACTAAAAATAAGGTTTTGAAATTTATGAATGATTCACCTAAAATAAAAAAGCAATTAGAGTGGAACAGAATGAAGTTAAGCCAATATATAGGCCTTTATATGCTTTATGCATATAAAATTATGTCTTACTCATTTGTCACTGGGATATGTTTTCTGGAGTGGAAGAGGCAGGGTGTTTATAACCTGTACTGTCCTTAATGAGGCCTCTAAACTCTGTGGGCTTACGGAGGGTCTCACGCAAATGTCATGATCCCAGAAAGAGGCCAAGAACTGCTGCCTATGGCAAGGGGAAGAATCTACCGTTTTGTTTTGTTTGTTTAATTTTATTGTGATAAAATATATATAACAAAATTTTTGCTGTTTTAGCCATTTTTTTAAGTGTATAATTCATTGACACTGATTACATTCACCATGTTGTACAACCATCACCACTAACCATTCCCAAAAGTTTTTCATCACTCCAACCGAAACTCAGTGCCACTTAAGCAATACCTCCCCATTCCACCCTTCCCCCAGCCCCGGTAACCACTAATAAACTTTTGTCTCTATACATTTACCTATTCTAGATATTTCATATACATGGGATCATACAATATTTGTGTTTATGTGTCTAACTTATTTCATTCAGCACGTTTTCAAGGTTCACCCATGTTGTAGTATGTGTCAGGACTTTATTTCTCCTTTTGACTAATATTCCATTGTATAGATACACATTTTGTTTATCCATTCATCTATTGTTGAATACTTGGATTGTTTCCATCTTTTGGCTTTTGTCAATAATGCTGCAATGAACATTGGTATACAATTATCTGTTTGAGTCCTTGCTTTCAAGTCTTTGAGGTAAATACCCAGGAGTGGTATTGAGAATAACCATTTTTAAAACAAGCATGCCACACAATTAAATTTGCATTTTAGGATGAATTCTGTCACTACAGGATAGAAAATGAATGGTGTGGGACAACCCTGGAGAGGGGGGACCAGTTAGGGGACTAATGCTGAGGTCCAAGTGTGAGATGATGAGATAGCACAAAGTAGAGGCAGAGGGGATGGAAGAGATGGGTTCAGATTTGAGAGTCACTACCGGGCTAAAATCAATAGGATTTTGTGACTTAGTGGAGGAGGTAAGTAAGGAGGAAGGGCTAGGATGACATTTAGCTTTCTTGTTTTGCTGATTAAGGATATTAGGAGGATGATCAGGATGGGGAGGGGGAAATTCAAGTTACTGTTTTAGGCATGTTAAGATTGGGAGCTTGTGGGCTATCAGAGTGGTGGTATTTGGGTGAGAGTGGGGATTTGGGAATCATCAGTGCAGAGGCAGTGGGAGAAGCAGAGGCCGCAGGTAAGATTATTCAGGAGAAGTCTAGAGTAAGAAGAGAAGAACATCAATGTCAGCGCTCACTGAAACAACTAGACTCAAGGAAATAGTAGACATTGAGAAGGAAAAATGTGAGAAATGGGATCATAATTAGGAAAGAGTAGGAGAAAAGAGTTTTAAAAAGGATTGAATGTGTTTGTGTCAGTCATCAAATCTGCTGGGGCTGCCTGGTGTTTGAGAACATGGCACTCTTGTTAAATTCACATTGGTGCTTACTTGTTGCAGGTGGCAGACATTAATTGGTGGACTTTTGCTTCATGTGTCATGGAAACTGGGCTGGGTGGAGATCAACAGCAATTCAAGGTATTTAACAAACTCTTCTGTGCATGATTCATGATTTGTACTCTGATTATTTTTATATTATTTAATTTCTTATAGTGTTACATTGGAAAATGTGGATGTTTGAGATATTTGGTCTGTTAGTTCTCTTCTAACCTTGATTGAGAGTCAATGATTTTTATAATTAAATAAAACTCAAGTAGTGTTCTCCTGGTTAATATAATATTAAAACTAACTGAGATATACAATTTATTATATCATATTAAGTTGGCTTAAAATAGCTTTAAAAGTTTTCTGCAAGTTTTTATTTTTAAATTACTTCTGACTTCCAGAAAAGTTTCAATAGTACGAAGAACTCCTGTACCCTGTACTCAGACTCCGCAGTTGTTATTATTTTACCACGTTTCCTCTATAATTTTCTCTTGATATATACATGCATTATTTTGTTCCAAACTGTTTGAGAGTAAGTTGCAGACAGGATGCCTCTTTAGATTTTTTAGTGTGTACTTCCTAAGAGCAAGGACAGTCTCTTCCGTGCTACAGTTCAGTTATCAAAATCAGTAAATTCACATTGACACGACACCATTATTTCATCTACAGACCATATTCTTATTTTGCCAGTTGCCTCAGTAATATCTTTTTAGCTTCTCCTTCCCCCTAAAAATTATGGTTTTGGATCCAATCCAGATTGCACATTACATTAGTTGTTATGATTCTATTAAAGTAGCTTTTCAAATAGATTTAAAATAAATCTCAAAGTCATGACATTTTCCTCTAAAATGATCATCAGAATTGGTTATCCACTCCTGCTTGTCATAGATAAATCCTTCTGATTCTTTGAGAACACCATGCCTAGTCTGAAATGATGCACAAAATGAAAGGAAAATTAAGTTCAGGTTTGTATGTATAAGGTGAACATCCCAAATGAATGATCAGGCCAAATTATTCACCATGTGCTCCAAATTATTCTGCCCGACTTCTCTGTTAATATGATTAAGTGGCTAATTGCTTAGTCACCCCTTTGCTTGGCATCCTGGAGAAGTTTGAGAGCATGTCCAGTTTAGTATTAGTAATTTTGGCTTCTCCTGAAAATACAGAACTGGAGGGCAAAAAACTAGTTGTTATGAATTCTGTCCCTCAAAAATGTGTGTCTACTTCCCTATACTGTGATTCCCAGTATGGTGTGATTGTCCACCATTTTGTCATCTGATGTGATTTTCCTATATGTTGTAAATCCTACCTCTATGATGTTAATGAGGCAGGATTAGAGGCAATTATGTTAATGAGGCAGGACTCAATCTACAAGGATCTTTTTTTCTCTTTCTTTTTTTAAATTGTGATTTGGATGAAGGTTTACAGAGTAAATTAGTTTCTCATTAAACAGTTAATACACATATTGTTTTGTGACTTTGATTGCCAACCCCACGAAGTGTCAACACGCTCCTCTTCTCTACCTTGGGTTCCCCATTATCAGCTTTCCTGTCCCCTCCTGCCTTCTCATCCTTGCCCCTGGGTTGTTGTGCCTATTAAGTCTCTTTTTGTTTTATGGGCCTGTCTAATCTTTGGCTGAAGGGTGAACCTCAGGAGTGACTTCAATACTAAGTTAAAAGGGTGTTTGGGGGCCATACTCTTGGAATTTCCCCAGTCTCTGTCAGACCAGTAAGTCTGCTCTTTTTTTTGTGTGTTAGAATTTTTTTCTACATTTTTCTCCTGCTCTGTCCAGGACCCTCTATTGTGATCCCTGTCAGAGCAGTCGGTGGTAGCCTGGCACCATCTAGTTGTGCTGGACTGAGTCTGGTGGAAGCCAGGGTAGTTGTGGTCCATTAGTCCTTTGGACCAATCTTTCCCTTGTGTCTTTGATTTTCTTCATTATCTCTTGCTGCTGACGTGGTGAGACCAGTGGAGTATCTTAGATGGCCAACAAGCTTTTAAGACCCCAGATGCTACTTACCAAAGTAGAATGTAGAACATTTTCTTTATAAACTGTGTTATGCCAGTTGAGCTAGATGTTCCCCAAGACCATGGTCCCCACAGCCCTCAGCCCAGTAATTTGGTCCCTCAGAGTACTTTTGGGATTTTATATGTAATAGAGCAAACCCGTTGCCATCAAGTCAGTTCCAACTTATAGGGACCAAATCGTGCTTTATGTTACATCATTGTGGTGGATATCCAAATTGTACTTTATGCTACATTGTTGTGGTGGATATTTCTGTGAGTACTAGGGCTTCATCTATACAAACAGGGGCCCTGCATTCACAAGGCCTGTGATAGTTCCAATATTTAGTTAAATCGTGAAGACCACTGATGCCAAGTGGTTAACCTTATTCCTCACTGAAGCCGGAGGTTGAACTAGAATGAGGGACTAGGCTCTCATAGTTAGACTCGAGTCCACTGGCTCTGATAAACATAGGTCTCCCATTCTTAGAGTGTTAGTGATTATAATTATCTTGTAATTATAATTTCTGATGTCAATTATTCACTGATTAATAATAAAGCAAAAAAATCAAACCTGTTGTGATTGAGTCGATTCCAACTCATAGCAAACCTGTAGGACAGGGTAGAACTGCCCCATAGGGCTTCCAAGGAGCAGCTGGTGGATTTGAACTGCTCATCTTTTAGTTAGCAGCTGAGCTCTTAAGCACTATGCTACCAGGGCTCCCTGATTAATAGTAGTCTTTTTTAAAAAGTTACCTTTTTCCTGTTTCCTGCCATTCTTCATACTTTCACTGCCTTTTTTGTTTGTTTTGGTACTGATTTTAGGACTGGATGCTGTCAAAGATTCTTAAGATGTGTCTCTGGAAGAAGTGTCCTCCGATAGTAGAAGTTTTAGATCCACTAGACAGTGCTGTCCCTTGAATTCTTATGATGCCAAGTTCTACCTGTCTCAGAAGATCTGTGGTCACATCCCCTTGTCATTACCCTTGCTAAACTTCCTTGAGGCCTTTTCACCTCCATCTCCTAGAATTCCATAGACAGTTTCACAGCCACACACATGATGTCAGCTCATTTAAGCTTCTTGTCAAAGATGCCAGCGTCTGGGTTTTTAGTGGATCTTGTGGTTACTAACTACTGCATAACTCGGGATTTCCAGTTACCACGGGCCCTTGGCAAAGGGCTGCAACCAGATGGCAGCAGCAAGGACCCCAACCAGCGTTCTTTCATGTGAGCCCAGGCTGGTTTGTGTTTGCTGCGGCTGCTGCTTCCTTCTGGGTCTGGCTTTCGGATTGTGTCATCAGGGAACTGAAGTCCAGCTCCTCTGTGTACTTGTACAGAGATAGCAGAAGTTTGGCTCTGCTGAACATTGAAACAACAGCAGGAAGACAGTCTGGAGTCTGTGGAGAGGCGGTTATAACGGTGAGGCAGGAGGGTGGGTCCCAAACTGGTTTTCATACAGTATATGCCACGGGGAACTCATTTAGACTGCCCTTACAATCTGGAGCAGAGCAGGACCACAGATTCTCTCTCAAACAAGTCTCACAACATGGCAGCACAATTCTTATGTTGCAAAGAGGCCATATCTGCTGTGCCTGCCGTTCTCTGGCCACATCATGGATTGAGTCCACAAGAATGACCCGAATGAGTCATTCTGTTTCCAGGATTGTTTGCCTAGACTTTTGGATGTTTTCACCCAGGCTTGGACAATGCCGTTGAAACCTTCTGTCTTGGGAAAGAGAGCACTGTTTCTCAGCCACAAGTTTGTTACTATGTGGCAGCAACTGCTATGACCAAGTCATTGCAGAATGTTGGAAGTGAGTTTTCTAGCAGATGTTGAAGTCTTTTGCTGAAGTCTTCATGTATTTCCAAAATGCGATCCTAAAAGAACACTGTGACCTGTTTTATCTGGCTGGGCGTTGCTTAGCACGGCGCAACTGTGGTGTCTTTTATTGGATTCTGTAACTGAGGAGCCCTGGTGGTGCAGTAGTTAAGCGTTCGACTGCTAACCAAAGGTCCGCAGTTAGAATCCACTAGCTGCTCCTTGGAAACTCTGTGGGGCAGTTCTACTCTGTCCTGTAGGGTTGCTATGAGTTGGAATCGACTCAATGGTAACAGGTTTAAGTGAGGAAAGACTTAGGTGCATTTCATTTGAGACTTCAGTCATGCAGTTCCTGTATTGCCAGGCTACATGTTTATATAAAACACACTGAAAGTAAATTTTAACCTATTTGCCACTTTTTGTCTGTTATAAATAAGATAGCAAAATTTTAACTCTCAAATTTTTAAAAAATTGTAATTTATTTTTAACTTTTTTATATAGAGTTTATTTTTTAGAGCAGTTCTAGGTTTACAGAAAAATTGTGCAGAAAGTAGAGAGTTCTCATATGTGCGCTATTTCGCCCGTTTCCCTTGGGCACCCTTTCTCCTGTTACTAACATCTATTAGCATTTCTGTGGTATGTTTGTTAGAATTGATGAACCGATGTTGATTCATTGTTATTAACCAAAATCCATAGTTTACTTTAGGGTTCACTCTTTGTTTTGTACAGGCCTCTGGGTTTTGACAAATGCATAATGCCATGTGTCCACTATTACCGTATCAAACAGAATAGTCTCACTGCCCTAAAAGCCCTGAGCTCCACCTCTTCATCCCTCTGCCCTCCCCCAGCCTACTGGCAACTCTCAAATTTTTAAATATGAGAAATGATGAGTTAAAAATTCTGTGCTATGATATACCTTTGTGACCACGGATTTCTAACAAATGAGCTAGAAGCCCCCACCCCTTAATTTCCATCAAAAGTCTTGGCTGGAGAGCCATAAAAAAAAGTCTTTGATAAAATCCTCCAGATTACCTCAGCACTGTCCTTAAAGAAATGAACAGTCAGCCAATCGGTTATGGCCCAGATTGTACTTCTTTTTAAAGATTATGTGTTTTTAAGTGAGCTGTCCCAGCTTCATCAGAACCACTGATGGTTGGAATTCCCCAAAAATGTTTAAATGTGTCGTTATATCATTTTGGGTGACTCCTGCAGTTTGATAAAACGTCCTCTCTGCTCACAGAGGGAAGTTAGGACTCAAATTCATGTGTTT